TATTTTAAAATGAGAGAATAAAATTTATTTTTAAAAATAATGCTTTAAAATAATTTATTTTTTAATATAAGAATTATTATGTATTTATTTTAGTTTATGCTTTTTATACTTTATATTTATTTTAAGATTGTTTAAAGTTTTTAATTATTTTTTTGCAAATAAATTAAATTTTGTATTCTGCTCTATCTATAAGTTAATTCACATTTAGTAAATACTCTAAAATCATTTTTCTTCAAAGATAATGATCTAGAAACATATTCTTTAAAGATTCATTACAGAAGTGATTTTTTTTTAAAAAAATTGCTCTGGAAAGTGATTTTCTTTGAAAATAATGCTCTGGAGACATTTTATATTAAAGATAATGCTCTAAAAGTTTTTACTTTGAAAATAACATTTCAGAAGCATTTTCTTTCAAAGAAACGCTATAATAGAAGTATTTTACTTTAAAAAAATGCTCTAAAAGTATATTCTTTTAAAGATTTGTTATAGTAGAAGTATTTTACTTCAAAAATAATACTCTAAAAGTAAATTCTTAAAAGAACTCACTACGGAAGTGAAATTCTTAAAAGAATTTGCTATGGAAATGAATTTCTTAATAAAATTTGCTCTAGAAGCAAAACTCTTAAAGAATCTATTATAAAAGCAAATTTTTAATAGAAATCACTCTAGAAGTGAAACTCTTAAAAAAAATCATTACAAAATCAAATTTCTTAATAGAAATCACTCTGAAAATGAAACTCTTAAAAGGAATTACTTCAGAAATATATTTCTTAAAGGAAAATATTCTGAAAGCAATTTTATTTATAAAGAATATTCCAGAAAAATTTTCTCTTTAAGAGAATTATTCAGAAATGTTTTTATTGAAGAAAGTTATTTTGAAGATGATTCTCTTGAAGAAAATTATTTTTCAGAACTATTCAATCATTTCAAAATTTTTTTCAGATTTTTATTAATAATGTAAGTTTATGAGCTGGCTTGTATGGCTTACGAGTTAGCTCAACTTACTACATTTTATACTTGAGTCAAGCTGGCTTATGAGCCAAAATAAATTAGCTTAATTTGAGCCAATGGTTGAACTGACTCAAGCTAGCTCATGCAGAACTTTATTAATTAATAATAATCAGATTATATATATAGTAATCAAATTATAAGATAACCATATCAAAAAAATGTAATTTTACTAAAAATTATTTTATTAAAGTTTATAATAAATTTATTATACTATTTTATAAAAGTTTAACTATTAATAAACCAAATATTATTATACTTAAATAATATATTAATTATAAGTGATTTTATAATATTTAATAAATTTTTTATTTATCTCAAATATTAAAATAATTTTTTTATAATATATTTTTATTTATTTAATTTAAATAAATTAAACAATTTAATACTAATATTATTATTATATAAAATTATTTATTTATTTAAACTTTGTTTGAATTAAACAAAATATTTATGATAAACCCTTTGATCTTTGATTTTGGTATAATTTTATAATTTTTATTAGTTTAATATAATTTTAATTTATAGTATTTAAATGTTATAAGTTTTTTTATTAAGATTTTAAAATGATTTTTTCGACTTTATCCTATTAATTTTAATTAAAATAAAAATATTTAATAAATTTAATTAGAAAATTTAAGTAATATTATATTTTTATATTAAATTAATATATAAAAATATTTATAAATAATTAAATTGATTGATTTACTAACTTGAAAGTTTAATTAGCAAAATTTGAAATTAAAAATTAATTAATTATTATAGATAATTTTATAATTCATAAACTACTAATAAATTGACTACTAAAAATTATTAATGATATGGAAACTATGAAATTATTATCAAAAGTCAGATTTTCTTATATTAAAAAATAAATTTATCATCATTTGATAATTATTTGAATAAATATAATTTGTTTCAATGAATTAAATTTAAATTAGTTATTTCTTCTTATTAATCAAAACTCTATTTAGGAATTTTGCTTGAATCATTTGGAATTGTTTTAAACAATAAGGAATGGTTGAATATCAAGTAACGCATTTATTGGAAATTAAGAACACTGACCAAATCCGTTATAATTATTGAATAGGTTAGCGATTCAATAGAATAAAAAGGTACACGGAGAAAACGTCTCTATGTGATAAACTATCTTTCCTAAAGTAATTTTTATTATAAAGATCGAAAACTTGTATATGTCGAGCCAAATTGCATGATTAACCTTTATAACTTTCCTTCTCTTTTCAAAGCCTCATACAAAGTCAAAGCCGATAACGCTTTCATATCCGGAATCTTCCACAACTCACTCAACTTCGTTAACCTTACAACAATATTTTCATCATGATCTCTCAGTCCTCCTAATTTGCCTTCCAACTGCATTACATCGCTTCTTTTCATATCCTTAATACACAAACATAACCTTAAAAATTCATCACTACCACCAGGAGATGGATAAGCACCTTTATATTGATTTCCATAAGCCAATCCTGTCATATCAATTAAATCTTGATCTTTGATTATAATACCTGTTTCTTCTTTAATTTCTTCGCTTGCTTTTCCGGTAAAATTGCCCGATCCATCAAGCATACCTAAAAAACGTATTTTAAAAATTATTATTATTATATTAACTAATTCAAAGGAATTTTTTATTTACTATACCGGCAGGTATCTCTAGAAAGGTAAAGGAAGGAACAGCTATACGTGGTTGTTGGGTTAATACAACATGTTCCGTTATAATATCATCTTGATCTTTAGATCGAAGAATTAACAAAACTGCTACAGAACCTCCTCTCTACAAATTCGAATTCAATTCATTGATTGACCAAAGAAATAATTAATTATAATATTTTATAAAAATAAAATTTTGTTAACAACCATAAAAACTATTCCAGGAATATTTTTGCCAGTCTCGATTAATCTCGCGTCAACTTTAAATTTAACAAAACCTATTTTAGGCCCAAAATAATCTACATTTTGAATTTCGACCTTTCGAATTTCAATTTCTTTCTTTTCCCCAGAATGGGTTTCTTTGGATATAGAAGAAACCCAATCTTTAAAAGGGTTGAACTCAAGAACAGAAGTAACATTAATATTAGGTTGTGCTGTTGTCACGGGCACATGAGTTCCAGCTATATCAATAGTGCAATTATTAGTCATTATGGTTGTTCGTATAAAAAGTTTATTTCGATCAATAAATTGATTTCGATAGAATAAATTTCTTGAAATAGCGTTTGTAAAACGAAATTTTTTATACATGTGATAATGTTCTAAGAGATGATGATCTATTTATACAAAAAAAGTAGGGGCTTAAAATTTATAAGATCGATCAATTTTTAATATAACGCAGTTTTGTGTGACGACATAATTAGTATAAAATAAAAAGTTTATATAAAATAAAAAAAATTTTTTTTTTAAGCATAATATTGTAAAGATGTCTTCTTCTTTGCCATCACTTCTTGAATACCTGTTGAACAACGCGTTAAAATATAATTCAAAAATTCAATATCAATACGGTGCACATGAAACTCACCATCCATGAAATCTTCATGACTCAACTCGGTTGCTCCTCTCCTCAAAGCCAACATACCGGCTTCCACGCAGACTGCTTTACATTGAGCTCCATTGAATTCATCACAACAACGTGCCAATTCTTCATAATTGACTTCTGAGCTAATAGTCATTTTACGCGAATGAATTTGAAGGATACGTGCACGCGCTTCTTCATTTGGAAGTGGAAATTCTATCTTTCGATCAAGACGTCCCGACCGTAAAAGCGCTGGATCCAGGATGTCAATACGATTTGTAGCGGCAATTACCTGTAATGCGTAACCGATTTTTAGATACTCCATCTATATACATATATTCATTTAAAAAATATTATATAAAGTACAAACTTTTATCCTTTCATCACTACTAAAACCGTCAAGTTGATTCAATAATTCCAACATAGTTCTTTGTACTTCACGATCACCACTTTTTTCACTGTCGAAACGTTTTGTACCTATGGCGTCCAATTCATCTATGAAAATAATAGCGGGCGCTTTCTCTTTAGCCAAGTTGAATGCGTCCCGAACAAGTTTGGCACCATCACCAATAAACATCTTCATATAAAATAAAGAGATTAAATATCGACGAGAAGAATTTCAAATCGAAAAAAAAAATATCTTATCCACCTGAACAAGTTGTGGCCCAGCCAACTTTAAATATGTGGATTGAGTTTGGGCCGCACAAGCCCTTGCCAGTAATGTTTTTCCGGTACCAGGTGGCCCATACATTAATACTCCTGAAATAATAAATATAATGAGCTCTCAGGATAAGGATTTTTTTTTTTAAAAATCAAAAAAAATTTTACCTTTTGGTGGTTTAATACCCAAATTTTTGAACCTCTCGGCATGTGTCATTGGCAATACGATTGCCTCCACCAATTCTTCGATCTGTTTATCTAAGCCACCAATATCATTATAGTCTTCAGTCGGTTTCTCATCGACTTCCATTGCTTTAACACGTGAATCATATCTGTCAATAACATTAGGTTAGTCAGTATTAAATTTTTATGATTGTCATATATTCGAAATTAACTTACTCGGCGGGTAATGTATCTAAAACTAAATAGCTGTCTTTGTTTACACCGATTAAGTCTCCTGGTTTTAAAGTAGCTGGATCAACGAGACCGATTAGAGGCAAAAAAATTGTCTAAAAATAATGCAAAATAATACTTCTACCAAATCTCCTCAAAAGAAAAAAAATATTCTTCAAGATAATGATATAATTGAAGTCTCATGTACCTGTCGAGTTGAAGTTTTAATGACGGCACATTTTCCTTTTCGAACTGCATCGAGGTCAACGTTAGCACCATCTTCCTCGGGTTCATCGTTTGGATCCATGTCGAGCAACTGATATAGATTGACAAAACGAATCTTTAGATATAAACTAATAAGATAAAACGCAAAAAAAAAAAATTTATGATTTTTAAAACGTACCTCAACAACATTACCTACAAGATAAGGTAATTGCTTATTGACCTTTATCTTGTCTTTATTATCTTTTATCTTTTCTTTCATGTTGTTTTGTTCGTGTGTCAAACGCATATGCTCGGATTTCATCATCTATATAACCGATTCGAAATTATTTAAAAAGAATTAACTGGCTAAATAAAATAAAACCAAGATCGTGCCATTTTGAAAGAAATAACTGTCTTCAATTGAAAGTTAGCTGAATTAAAGTCATGACCGCACTACAATTTCTTCACGATCACCTAGATCGCAACAAGAAATGCTTTTCCTAGTTCATTAAATAAAGTTATTATAAAGATTTCCAAAAAAAACAATGGGAACTAACCTTGATATCGTTCTCAAGCAAACGCGTTCGTTTGTTGATGTCTTCGGTGCTGGACTTCATGATATCAGCATCAAGATCATCAAGACCATCTTCCTCAACTTTATCCCAGATCGTCTTTTCTTTTTCTTCGAGAGCCATTTTATGCGTTGAATTCAAAACAATATAAAATGTTAGTGGTTTGGTCTTTTTTGCTTCTAAATTGAAACTTTGTCTATTATATTCATAATTGAATATTTTTCACCCAATTGATTTTGACAAATTTAGTCATGCATCTTATTCATCACATGGATTACGCAATTGATTTACGTATTCCCTGTTTTTTTTAATCATTCCGAAAAAGGAATGAGATACGATCAAACTGCAGACACTCACTGAACTGGAATGTGATCAATCCATTATTCTTGTAGGAGCTTAAAGTAACGACTCGAAAATAAGGAGCGATAAATAGAAAGTTTTATATATACATAGTTTCTTCATCAATTTATTTACATATATTTTATACATAGAAAAATCACAAATGCCGTCAAATACTTGCTTCAGTGTCCATCAAATGCGAAAGATCGTGTTAATGGTATGGTTGCGTCAAAACATATGTTTTAGATCATGCGTAGAAAATAAATTCGTGCTATTTAAATAATAAAGTTTAAAAGTTTCCAAAAGACATCATTCTCCAGCAACCGCGTATGATTGTTTATATCCTAAAATATTTAATATTACATTTCTATTTAATATTTGTCACCATTGATATTTTAATTCTAGCCAATTATTATGACAATCTTATTCATCACGTATCATATATTCCCTTTAAAAAATGGTGGTTTAAAATCAGGGGGGTAATAAATAATCACTCTCCTCGTTCTTCCTAGATACTAATTTTTTTTATTATAGGTATAAACATGACGAGAAAAAAGCATGCAAAACAAGCAAGAAAAAGCTCAGCAACGATAGATATGGAAGCTCAGACTGATACTTTATTTACTAAGATTCGCAACACTCTCTCTGAACTGGAATGTGGTTTTGATGACATTGATAGATTACTCGAACCTATGCTTTCTCAGCCCCTGAGTGAATTAGCTTCAGGTCTAGGACCGATAGACCGTGCAAGGTTATACTTGCTTTACGGTTTTACACTCAACTCTTTGATATCATGTTGGTTAATAATTTATATAAATATATTATAATTTAAGTAATTAAAGACATTCTAACTATTGTATACTTCTGGTATAGTATTTTTGGAGCTAAAAGGTCAGGACTCGAAAATAAAAATACTTGAGGAACAATATGTAAGTACTAATTATCCAATGGAAAATATAGAATTTCTATGATCATAAATTTCCAACATCTTTTTTCCTTTCGGATATAGAAACGTATACAAGACTGTTCAGAAAAAATCACAAATACCGTCAATCCTCCTCAACCATCATTATCACTCAATCGTAATGCTGCTTCAAGGTTTATCAAGCACGCTTTATCAAATCCTGATAGTGATACAAGAGAAAAAGGTACGTACCGTACAATTCAACTTTTATTTCCGTTAATAATCATATTTTGCAAAAAAAAAAAAAAAATTTAAAAAAAATCTTTGTTTACATATATGTATATAAATGTACTAATGCGACATAATAGCAACAAATTCCGGAACAAACACCAGATTCGATGACAACGAAGATCATAGAGGAGCTAATAATAACAGTAGATCTAATAGTAGACATAATTTTTCGCGCGATGATAGAAATCGAGACAATCGTTCGCGTTCATCGCGGCATGATAGAGATTATAGGCCATATGATCGCCGCGATCGTGATCGTGATCGCGATGTCGACGGAGGAGACGAACGTAAAAGCTTTTCTACTCTATCTCTCCGCTCTCCGGAATTGTATCTTATGTGATACGACCAAGGATGGGTAATTTTGTAATAATTTTTAAATGCTAGATCAGATACTAAAACGTTATTTCATTTTATTTGTAGGTAAATATTCGCATAAAGAGATCAGCATAGCAGATCGTTTAGGTCGATTGTATTAATTACTAAATTTTTTTTAAGCTATGCGTTATTTCAATTAAGACTCCGTAAAATTTTGCACTTATGTTTATAACCAACCAGACTTATAATCATCACGAGATTACAAATGGGAACTGTACCCTGAGTGAAGACCCTTCATCTGATCGATCGTCATCAAATTTATTGCATTTTTTAAAACATTAAAGAATATTAATATATAAAGAAAATTTTTATTTATTTTAATTTTTAATGTTCAATAAAACATTCGCAAAAAAATATATTATAGGAATAAATAAGTGTAGTATGTATAAAATGGATTTAGTGTTAGAATTTGATTTGAAATAATTATGTAACAATAGGTTTTTTAATACATAAACCTTTAAAAGGATTGTTAAATATTAATCAGTAAATGCGGATTTGTTATAACATGACAAATTCACATTTTTTAGGATTTATAAAGATTTATAAATAGAAATATGAATTAATTAATATTTGATGATATAGCTTATTATAATGAATCTAAAAAAATAAATAAATAAATAAAATAAAAATATTAATAAATTAATGAATATTATAAGTTTAATAAATTATTCTAATTTAATTTACTAATTATTTTTTTAATTTATTATATAAATTATGTAATTTAAAAATAATTTATTAAAAGTTTATAGTATAAATTGTAGCAAATATAAAAATTTCTTGTTTAAATAATATAAATAGATATATCTGCTTTCTTACAAATTTTATATGATATAATATAACTTCTTGCATTATTTCTATCTTTAAAATAATTGTAATACATAAATTTATCTTTAGAATGAATATTAGCTTTTGTTTTAAAATATTTAGAATACTTTTTGTAGAAGATTTTAATCATTTAGCTATCCTTCTTTTATATTAGCAAACAATAGATTTTGAATAATTTCTTGTTTTTCATTACTTAAAAAGTTGAATTTGTTTATTTTATTTATTAAATTAGTCTTATAAAATTATTGTAATTATCAAATGAAACCTAAAAAGATTAAAACCTTTGCAAAAAGTTTTTAAAAATGGCAATTAGCAGATCATATTAATAAAACTATTATGAAATCTTCTTTTACTACATATAAAATTTTATAAACTTTAATATTATATATATTTTTTTAATAAATTTGCTTTTTTAAGATTCTTAATACATGACTTTAATTGTAAATTATACACTTGTAAATAAATAATTATTGTTTTATTGTAATATAAAATAATAATCAATATTATTACATAAAAAAATTGTATTATATTTTATTATGGAAATTTCATCGATTATATGTAGATCGGTAATTAAGTTTTTTAAAAGTTTTTTAAAATAATTTGATTTTAAAATTATTATAATAAATTTTTATAAATTCTTTAAAAATTTATATGTTTGTATATTAATTGAATTATTTTATCACTAATTAAAATCATAAAATTTCTTAATAAATTAATAATAGTTTTTCTTTATAAGTAATTTTATAATATTCTATTATGATTAATATAGTTAAAAGTAAATTTTAAAAAATTTATTATAGAATAAATAGAATAATTATAAAATTTTTTAAAATAATTTTTTTTTAAAAATTACAAATTTTTAGCTTTTAAATAATATTAAATTTTTTATTATATAATTAAAAGATAAAACTTATTATAATATATTATATATTTATAAAATTAATTTAAAAAAATTTTTTTTTAAAAGTATTAATTATTTATAAAAGTAAATCAAAAGGGAATTTATAATAAATAAGCAGGCAAATTTGCCTACAAAACATTGCATTTTAAGGGATAACTTATTTATTGTATTTCTGGGATTCTTATCTGATATATCTGATATTTTTGATATTACTGATATAGAAGGTGGTTAGTAGAAAAAGGAGAAATTCAAATTTTAATCAAAATTTATATTATTGAACATAATGATATAGATCATAAAGTATTTATATTTATTGATTAAAGTTAAGCTGATCAAAAATATTTTTTTTAAAATAGAGCTTATATGATTTTGCTATATATTATTTAGCAGATTTTGTAGATTTAAAATAGAATTTATATTATTTTGCTATATATTATTTAGCAAATTTTGTAGATGCTTGTTTAATTTCTTAAAAATAAAATCTGTAATATCTGTAATATGATAATATTTACTATTTGCTTAGATATTAAAATATAAATTATTAAGTTTTTTGAGTTATTTCATATATATAACATTTATGATTTGTATTATATTATCAAATTTCTATCATACTATTACTTTGAAATAAACCAGCATTATACAGTTAAACCTTGATATAGTGAACTCTTGATATAACGAATTTTTAAATCAAATATATTAAAATTACCTTTACTATAATGAACTAGCCAATTAAATTCTTTAAAAAATTCATT